CTGTTAGCATTCATGTGACAATTTGCTACTATCGAAAGACCGTTAGAAAGGCAGAACATGAACAAAATAGGACACCAGTACATATGACAAATTACATATGTGTATAAATGACTGTTTACAGAACTGATTATATGCCTTGGGTATCCATGAGTTTAAAACAAGTGAATATATTTCCAGTGTTTTCCCTTGAATTATACTTGTAGAGGATAAGTGTACCAGCTAAGGAAAACATCAGAATCTTATGTATACATAGACTGCCTGGGTTTATTTGCAAGGACTAGATGTTAAGTTATCTCATATTCATGAGTGTTCAGTTAGGTTGTATAATCCACCAAAGTATTAATAAACTAAAAGAATTAAATTGCTTTTAAACAAATAATGGCTAAATTAAAAGGGAAATTTTCCAAGACTTATAAGATAGAAAAATTCAAATCTTATAGTAATAATATTTGATAATAAAGAAAAACTTCAAGTACAATGAAAGGTGGAAGTAGTTTTCAATTTTGTCCTGTTTGATTCTTCTTTAAAGTGTTGACTTTTTTGGAAGAGCAATTTTGGGGTGGAGATGAATTTTATTTAAAGAGTTGTAATTTTTTAGGATTAAAAAATATGACCTAGAAAGAAAGTACATAGCTGAAATAAGACAAAATCAACCACAAAAAGAAAAACTTGAGTTCTATTCTGGTTAATTCTTTTTTCTATAACTACTATGAGTGTGTCATTCAAGTTGATTTCTTTTTCTCTAGGAAGTAATTATTGAATTTCATGAACTACCTTTATTAGTTTAGTTTATTTTCTCTGCAAAATCATTTATTATTGAAAATGTTTTGAAATAATCTCATTATTTATGAAATATCTGCCTTGTAAAGTAAAAAGAAACCACATTGATTAATTAAAGTTTTAGCTTTACACATATGTATGACTCATTAAGAAGTAGTATGGAATTTTAAATTTTGTGGTTGACATGATAATGCCTTAAAAATAATATTTGAATCATAGAACATAAAGACATCCCCTTATACTATGATGGATAGTCTGTAACTCTAAGCCTTTTCCTGGGGCTTATATAGGCCCATATGCCTCCTCCTCAAATGCTGGCCTATGATTGTGGGAAAAGTCACTGTGCAAGGACAAGTCCCAGCTTCCTATATCACAATATGGTGTCCATCTATTTTCCTCTACTAATTAGTTACTCTTTCCACATACTGCCTATGTATGTCAGAGGAGGAATGTGGTGCGCAGTCCCGTAATCAAAAATGCTGCAATGCTGTTTCACACAGCCTTGTGAGAACAGCACAGTGCTGCTGCCATAGGACAAGGCTCACACTGCTATGGGCTACTTACAACTGAGGTTGCCCAAGACCACTACAACCAGTCATAGGTAACACTAACCAGAAGAGATGTCTGGTAGACTGTGGTCCCTTGTTCTCTGTCTGGTACTAAGACTATTCTAGGAGTTTTGTCTACAGGCATTGGAATGGATCTGGAGGCCACTGAGATCTGTCCAGTGCTAGGTTTCGTCAATTTGGCACTGAGTTCCAAGGCAAAGTTCCTCTCCCCTCAGACAATGGAGTCTTCCATCACACAATGCTGCCAAGATTGGGATAGTGTTGAAAAATGCAGTTCCTTTCCCACCTAGGCTGATCCTAATCTGAGTCACACTTGAATATGAATAGCCTTCTAGGTCAGGGAAACCTTATGATTACTTCTCTAGGCCCACTCTAAGTCTGACAATGATGAAGAGCAAAATCAAGACTGTCTCACTGTGGAACAAATCTCTGCTTTTGGCTGGACCACATCTGGAGGCTCTATCTGTGAACTTTTGTCTATTTCAGGGCCTTAAGTTTCTCTCTGGTACTAATAATTCTCACTGTGGCCAGCCTGGAACTAAGCTTTAAGGCAAAGCCTTGTGTTTTCTTGCCCTGCTTCCCCATGAATGTGTCTTGTTCTCCCTTTGCTAACCAAGGTTTGAGGAGGAGGGATGGATGAAGTTATTTTTTTTTCCCCTGATTCATGCAATTCCTGCAGTTCAGTCTGTAAGTATAGGCCTGGGTTAAGGGTCATGGGTCTCATCTTATGTCTGGGTTTTAATATAATATGCCTAGAACTGGATTTCAATTCTAAGATCCAGATTTAGTTACTTCTCTCCTCTATCTCCAAGTGGTAGGACACTCTTTTCACACTGTGTTTCTTCAGGGAGATAGTGAGAGGTGACTCTAGCAAATCTTTCTTTCCTCCCTTCTTCAATGCATTTCTTATTATTATAATAAAAAGAGGCACTATGATCTCTTATCTGGCTTCCTTAGCTTCCTTAGCTCTTTATTCCTGAATAGCTATGCAAATTGGTATGTCTTTGGGAA